CCCTATGGAAGGCCTCACCATCCAGGGGGAGCAGAAAGGATATGTGATAGGCAGGGTTTTAGTTGGAGGGTGGTAGGGGAGGATGGGAGGGAGAGGGAACTGGGATTGTCATGTAAAACAATCTTGTTTCTAATTCAAATTAAAAAAAATCTGCAAAAAAAAAAAAAAAAGGCCAGGAAATAGGTGAATAAACATGTTTTAGGTTTGGAGTCTAAAGTGCTTTTTTTTTCTCCCCCCTTAGGGATAAAGGAGAAAAGGGTGGCAGGAGCATTGCTAAGAAAGAAGGGAGAGACCAGACACCCAAGTTTGTAACAGTCAGTGCGGAGAGTGGAGAGGGATCTCATCATTAAACAAAAGAAAACAATTAATTGTGGAGATAACGGGAAAAATGAACTCTCCATTCACAGCATGTGGTCCCCATCTGGGAACTGTTGAGTGCATGAGTCCAGCATCTAGCAGGGACATGGATATGCTGTTTGACATGTGGCTGCAGAGGAGAAAGGTCCATAAGGAACTGAAAGTTCCCAAAGTAGGACACTCTCTGGGTCTCACACCTGGAGAGGAGCAGACACAGTCAGTTCTGTTTGCACAGGGGAATTTCCAGTGTTTGCATCTTTGTTCTGGATCAGAGTGGCTTCCTAAGATCTTTGGTCTCTGGGATACTTTTACACTTGGACCAAATAATCTACTTGTAACCAACAGAAAGCTCTGGTTTCTTCATTGTGAGCGTGTGCAAGCACCAGGTTAGCTTCATTGACCTCATCAGTAAGACATGTCCACTGGTACCACCACACCTGCTCCCACTTGCTGGACATGTCCCCTGCACAAAGCAGGGAGCCCCCAACTAAGAACAGTCACTAATACTGATCCCACCCACTTTGAATTGAGCATGGCTGGCATTCTTACTGTGCTAGTATCTCAGTGTTCTAAATGACAGAATGTGGACTTTCCTGAATTGTTACAATTTCAGATTACTGGGCAAATTTGAGAAGATTTACCCCATTTCTTTTCTCTTTTCACCTTTGGATTTCTTTGTATTGTTTCATTTGTCCTTCCCTCCCGCTGTCTTTTGTTCTCCATACCCTCTTGCCCTAATCAGAATGTGAGTTAAGAGACACGTGCTTCACCCCGGTGCTAGGTCTGGAGCAACACAATGTGTTCTATTTTTATCTTTCCGCTTCCAGTCACAAATGAGCTGCAAGGACAGGCCCTTTCTGAGTGTCCTGAACATTTTTCCTGTCTGCGACTCTCCCCAGTAGGCTGGCTGCTGAATGTTCTCTTTAGGGAAATAGGCAAGTAGGGTCAAGAAGAAGACCACGGAATCAGTTCTTCCTCTCCCCGGATCCTGCCCTCTGTTCCTTCATTCAGATGTGAGTTGTGCCGGTACTTGGTGCCAGACCCAAGAGAGGCACAAATGAGGCTCTAGGCACTCAACGATGGAAGCACGGCTTTCTCTTGAGGGGTCTGCCTTCTGTGTCCCCAGGCAAGTTCCGTTCTCCATTTTCATGGTGAAAAAGGAGGAAACTGAGTCAGATGGTTTCTGGGGAACTTTTTGTTTTCACAGCTATGATAGTTAAGGTATTTTAATGAGTAATTTCTTACTCCATCCTGGACAACTTCTCTTTACACAGTAACATTTATATGGACTTTCCTATTAACCAGCATGTGTTCCAAAAATACGAAGGTATTTAAATATGAAGACACATTTTGGTGTAGTTATATTAGAAGATACTGTATATTCATTAAGAATGTTCCTTCCAAAAGTTTTTCATGGTCAGGAAATATATGCACACTGCACAGCTACAGCAGGAACAGATGCAAGTAGGAAGGAGGCACAACACTGGAGGGTAAGGAGTTTGCCAACAACCAAGTTTTTATAGTATTATCCTTGACTGGGTTACACATGTTTAATTTTGTGGGAATTGAACGCAGAGCCTCAAACATACTAAGTACATACTAAGTATATACCCTACCACTAATTTATAACCTCAGTCCACAAATATTTACATGTTTCTACTTTGTTATTTTCATTTTCCAAAATAATACCAGAGGACCAGAAAGATGGCTCAGAGGGCAACCATGCTTGCTGTCCTGAGTGTGACCGCTCAACCCCACAGTGGAAAGAGAAAACCGACTTCCAAAAGTTGTTCTTTGACTTCTGTGTATGCTCTGTGTCATATTGTCATATTCCAACACACACACACACACACACACACACACACACACACACACACCAATGATCATGTTTTTCTATAATTAAAAAGAATGTTAAAGTATATAAAAGTGATTGTTACTACAATAATTTTATCTACATTTTAAAAGATCCCCTAGAAGTCTGTATGAATTCTGACAGACATTGTCTATATGTATAGAATTCATAAGCCACATTTTTGAATTTTTTTGTTTCTTTGTTTTGTTTTTTGAGACAGGGTTTCTCTGTTTAGCTTTCTTTGAGTCTGTCCTGGAACTTGCTCGGTAGATTAGGCTGGCCTTGAACTCACAGAGATCCCCCTGCCTCTGCCTCCCGAGTGCTGGGATTAAAGGCATGCTCCACTACCTCCCAGCATTAAAACATTCTTATTTATTACATATACAGTGTTCTGTCTGCATATATGCCTTCAGGCCAAAGGAGGGAACTAGGTCTTATTATAAATGGTTGTGAGCCTCCATGTTGTTGCTGGGAATTGAACTCAGTACCTCTGTAAGAGCAACCAGTGCTCTTAACCTCCAAGCCATCTCTCCAGCCATGTTTAGAACTTTGAATTCATTAAATTTTCTGTTTTCAAACGTAATGAAAGTAGAATTCTGTAAATAAATTTTGTGTGCCAAAGCTCAGAGTGAATAGTGTCAGAATTGTAATTTGCCTTGAGTTTTGCAAATCTGCCTATAACACGGATCTCCTCACCCCAGATTATAAGCCTGTCAGATTCTATATCTTTCTGAAGAATGACAATCTTAAAGTATATGACAAAACCTCCTGGGCTCCAAATGGAGGGAAGAAAAGGCAGGCCCCTGAGAGTTATTCCCCGAGAAGGCTCTGCAAATGACATTCACTTGGAATAGATGCTATGACATTTTTGCTGAAACATGATTCAGGCTATCAGATCACAAACCAAGGGAATGCCGCAAATGCCAAATGGTATAAGTAATTGGCCTACACGAGAAGGCACTCCCTCCATGTATGGAAGACAAAAGCCCAGAGGAATAGCAGGTCAGTTACTTGGTAGTAAGGAAGCCCATTCATTCCCCACAGTGGAGGGGAGGGAAGAAAACAGTGACCAGAGTTGAGTGAGCCTCTAGAACAGCCATCAAGGAAGGCTTCCCTCCTTTTGCTTATTTCCAAATGGCCATTGTGTAGCTTGGCATTAAAGAAGATTGCACTGAGGCCTCTTGAAGCTGTGGACAAGCTTCCCATGTGTCAGCCACAGCCAGGGAGAGAGGCGAAAATCTACTGTTAGCTCACCTGGCCCCTGGAACTCGTAAGGGAAGATTTCATGTACAGCCATGCTGCTCAAAGTGTGGTCCTTTGACCAACAGCACCCAGGAGGTTCAGCAAGAAAAAAAAAATAAAATAAAAAAAAAGGTCTGGGGTCTTCAAAGATTCCCCCGCTCCAGACTGGGGGGAATCTTCATTTTAAAAGATTCCATGGAAATCTGTATGAAGTTTGACAAACATTGTCTATTGGTATGGAATCCACAAGCTACATACATTTTTAGAACTTTGGATTCATTCAATTTTCTGTTTTCAAATATAATGAAAATAAAATTCTTTAATGTGGCAAAAAGATTCATTCTCCATCTAAACTTGGTGTCTTTCCCCCAGATAAGATAATCAGAAGGAATTTGACACTTAAAAATTTCCTTTTAAACCTGGATTATTCCAGACAGTGGTGGCACATACCTTTAATCCCAGCAGTCAGAAGGTAGAGGCCTTCTGAGCAAGTGCCAGGACAGTCAGGACTACACAGAGAAACTTTGTCTCAAAACAAAACAAAGCAAAACAAAACAACAAAACCCAACCAGCCAACCAACCAACCAAACACCCAATAAAAGCCTACTTTATAGAAAAGCCAGCATTTTCTTAGCTATCCCAATTTTCTAAATTATTTATAGCCTTTTATAACTCAAGGCAATTTTTATTTTCATGAAGAGATTTATTTATCACAGACTTATAAAATTCTTGCTTTCTACCATTTCCACATTCTAGAAGGAAATGTTTCCTTGTTTCTGGAAATAATTTTAACTTGGCTTCTTGTTGCTGATGTGGAAGGTGGTGTTCTGGTGTTTGCACTGAAAATGCACTGGCAACCTGCTAAATGTTTGAGAACTCACACCAAGAAATGAGCCACCTGGGCACAGGAGGAATTCAAGTGGTGTTGACCCAGCGTCTTAGAGGTGACATTTCCCTAAACAGTGAATGACCAGATTGCAGTCCAGCTCATGGCATCATCAACTTACAACATCTGGCAAACACACTCATCAATTTAGCATTGTCCTCTAAGGCAACAGGTCTGGGAGAAAGCTTACAGATAAATTATACATCCCTTCAATTATTTTTTTCTTTCAATTATTTTTTATTACTGAAGAATGTTTTAAATGTCTTCTAAACATTTGGACTAAGTGAGAGGAAGGGATGAAGGGCTCTAATGCTAGAACTAAACACATAGAAAAGTTCACTCTCACCTGATTGTCGAACTCGTTGGAGAGTTTGCTGGACCAGAACCTCTGATCGTGGGACGATGATGATGAAGTCCACTTTGCTTCAGTGGCTGAGGTCCAGGCTCTGGCTGCCACTGTCTGCGATTGCACACACCTGGGACAAGAGTCTTCTGGCAACTGTGAGCTGTGGTTGATAAATTTGGAAGGTTTCGTTATCTACATCTAAAATTAAAAAAAGTTATAAGAACAATATTAATTCAGCTCTTTGACAGGCATTATGAATCCATATGGAGACATAAAACACAAAGGAAAAGCAATGTCTCATGACCAAGAATTCCCACTTGCTATTCTCATTTAATATGGAGTTTTAGGGATTTGCCTATTTCCCCCCTAAAACCTGAGTAAGAAGATATGTTAAAGAATTGGATATGACAGTTTTGCAAGTAAATTACTTAAATACTGGTGGATTATCTTACAACCCTTTTCCTAATTAAGTGGAGACAGACCACACTGTCACAGCTGGCCTAGGACTCAGCTGTAGAAAGGCAGTTTTCAGTTCTCTAAGACTCCCAGCACTGCCCAGTGCTGAAGCCCAGGCCTTGGCTAAGGAGGGAGGCAATTCTGTAGCTACAATACTGCGGGATTCCGTTAAGTTCTCTGGGTAGTACCAAAGTAAACATTTCTTTTTCAGCAAGTCAGCTCCAACACTGGACTTCTCCCTTTCTGACTAGACGACATGGACCAGAGACACAACCTTCACCTTTCTTCCTATTTGGCTTGGCTTTGCCAGCACTTGTGACCTGGCAGGCCTAGGAGGTGAAGTCACCGCCAGCCAGTACTGACGCCAGGACTATCCAGAGACCTGCCTTGTGAGAGAGCCAGCTGGCCTCTCAATAGGTGATGCACTGCACTGTCCAGATACTCTATGCATGTCTGTAGTTCTTTATTACAAGTTCTTACCAAGCCATCAATCCCTTTGCATGCCCCCCCCCCCCCCAACACAAGGTCCAAGTGTAATGAGCAAATTGACAGGGCAGGCAACTGCCACTCCTTCTTGAAAGGGTTGCTTTGTATCAGGGACATGTGCTGGCAGTTTGACTGAAACAAAATCACAAGGCCCTAATTAACCAGTGCTAATTAAAGTTGTCTAAACTCAACAGAGGTGTAGCGGAGGTAGCCAGTACTCATAATACCCTAGCTACACTGATACAGAGGTATCCTTGATGACAGAGCTTAATGCTGTGAGTATCAACAGTAGAGTTGGGAGAATAGTTCAGTGGGAGGACACACCTCTAGATATATAGGGCCCTGAGTTTGATTCCCAGCACCAGAAAAGAAAAAGCAATACTAGCACCAATAATTTTTAAATTATGCATATGAGTGTTTTGTCTGCATATATGTCTGTGTTCTATGTGTATGCCCAGTGCCCAAGGAGGCCAGAAGAGCACACTGGATTCC